TGAAGTTTTGCCTGATATTCCTAACAAGGTATATGTTAAGAATAAGCAGAAGCAACAGAAAACTAAAAATAAGTATAAGCAAGAAAAATTAATTAGTATAGATAAGAAATTAAAAAGAGCGGAGATAGATCCCACACATGCCAATACTTCTAAAAATATCCATTTATCCAATATTAAAAGGCCCAGGAAGAAAACTTATCAATTTAAATTTACTAATATTTCAGATACCTCATCTATTTCGGATGCGGAGCAGAAATAAGAAACATAACGAACAATTTAGGAATTTTGCCAGTAAATTTAGGCACAGCTAGGCTACAAAAGACAAAACATACTTTTGTGCACTATTATGATCTATCACCTTTATATAAGGAATATGAAGATTTGAATATTCAATACAGTAATCTTAACTATAGTTATAGAAACCATTCTAAGATTAATAACGAGCTAGAAAATTATAGTAAGATAGTATCTTATATAAGGAGCTTGATTCAAGAGAAAATCGAATACATTAAATCTCATTCTCAAAAGACTCGCAATAAGAGAGGACTTTTTAATGGCATAGGCTATGTAGTAAAAACAATAACAGGAAATTTAGACTCCGACGATGGAGAACGTATTGATAAAATTTTATCTCATTTACAAGAAAATCAGCATCATATTCAAAATCAGCTGAGAATGCAATATTCAGTAAACAATGAACTTGTCGCAAAATTTAACGGGACTATTCAAGATATACAGCACAATGAGATGACATTAAGAAATAACATTTTACAATTGAAACATATTTTATTGAACCAGACAACAAACCAGGATATTCTTTCAGCGAAGGACATTATCAATCAATTAATTATCCTTTATAATGCCATATTGAATATTTTACAAGATATCGAAAATTCGATAACTTTTTGCAAATTGAAAACCATGCATCCCAGTATAATAAGGACTAGAGAATTATTTCAAGAACTCCGTAAGATATCCACATTTTATAAGAATGAATTATAATTTGAAGTAAAGTATGAAAATATGCTAGATTATGAATCTATTATTTCTATCAGTTGTAAAATCGATGAGAATCAAATAAGTTATTTTCTATCTATTCCTATAGATTATCCTGAACATTTCGATCTTTATTATATGTTACCCATACCGACTCTGATGCACAAATCAGAATTCGTCACTATTATCCCAAATTATAAGTATTTGCTAAAATCTGATCGAAATGAGGTCAAACCCCTGCACGAGATTTGTACCCAAGGTAGAATCTATCAATGCCCTTATCGTATATTAGCCAATCACAAAGCCCAATGCGAGAAGTCAATAATTACAGAAGATCATACAGAACCATGTAGATACACGAAGCTTCAGATTGAAGAAAATCACATCGAATTTATTCCCGAAATTAACCAGTATTTAGCTGTATTTCTCACCGAAGAAAAATTGAAAATTAAATGCAAGGAGCAAATCGATACAAAGTCATTACTTGGCATTTTCTTAGTCAAAGCCAGTGAATGCCAAATATCATTCCAAGACAATGAAATTATCTTTCAAGACAAAACCTATGGAAAGCCCCTCGTAGCTGACAAAATGGATTTCCATTTTATGAAACAAAATATCCCAGAGACACAAATTACTCTGAAAACATTAAATTTACCAGAATTACAAGTTAATCGAATGTTACCAATTTTAGAAGAAAATTCCATAGAAAATTTTGGAAAACCCAGTATTTGGACCATATTACTATATCTCGTATTTTCAAGCATCTGCTGCATAATTTTATATAGAAGATGGAGAAACAAGAAAGCATCCAAGTTAGAAATCGACATTGAATTAGCCGAGATGAAAGAAGAAGGTCCAAGTCCCACAAAACGCACTAGAAGAGAAGATTCCAGTTCAAGATATAAGAAGAAAGAAATTCACCTTCCAGGGGAAGCTTCATTCTAGGGGTGGAGGAGTTATGTACCAGTCTACAGAGAAGAATATGCTGAACAAGGACTTTTGCCTCCACGTTCCTTTCTTATCAGTTACAGTATTGTATTTCATTTGTTCTTTACTTTGGTTGTATAATGAACTTTGCAGTCAGTCTCGATTCAGAACTCATTCAATTAACATCATTGTATTTGGTTTTTCTCAAAAATAAATCTTTTTTAAAAACGTTTTCGTTGAAGAAAGATATTTGAGTTATATATATATGTATATATATATATTTTTTTGCCAATTTCCCAATTAATAATTAATTGTATTTCTTGCCCAACTGGTCGTTGGCAATGTCAATGACTACGGCTCGCAATATATACATATATATAACTTGAGACGTGGTTATTGTCGTCTAGACCAGTTAGGTGAAAAATTAAAGCTTCCGCCTTTTGTTGGGTACTTCGACAAAATTTAAGCAAAGAGGACTCTTTATACTGTTTTTAAATTCTCTCTAGCTTTCAATGGACTTTGCCATCATCATCAGGAGCTGCAATTACAATGATAACAGTAGCAACAAAAGTGTAAAATGAATTTAAATTGAATCAACTTACAGTAGTATGTGAGGATGTTGCTAATTGTTGTTTTCGTATAGGATGAGGGAAACGTCCAGTAACATGGTGAGAGCTGGATACATGGTACAATGGTTAAAATTATATAAAATATGATAAGACAAGTTAAAGACAGATTAAAAATTATTTAGAAAACATTGGAGCATTACGTCGTGAAGCCACTTGATGATTGTACAAAATGGTGGTCATGGAATAATGAGTGAGATGAACCTTTGACAGAAGGCCGAAGGTTGTCAATGTCTGTGTTGAAAGATGGAACGAATTGTGGGCGTGCGCCAAAACGTTGCTAAATCACTTCAGATGATGTGATTTTCAGAATGTTATGTAAGAAATTGTTAAACCGACCAGAGGCAGTTGAATAAACTATATTTTAATTAATGGGAATTTTAAATTAATAATTATTAATAAATCGTGAGAAGAGAATTATTAGATTTTGAGTGGAATGAAATTTGTTGGTGGAATCGGCCAAAACACAGATTATATTTATGGTTGTGAAAAGTCGAAATTTGGGGAGATATGTAAGTTCTCCAATTTTTCGCAGTTTAGCAAATATGAGTAAATGACACTCAGTTGTTTAATATCTGTCTTTTTGTTGATACAGTTGTTATTCATGAAAATGTGGGACATTTCCAGGAATAAACGTTTGGAAAGGTGTTTTTCTTTATCACAGCGTGTTCAACCTCTCCTGCCCCGGGATTATGAGCCCCGAGTATCTTTTTGTCGCACAATGTTAGAAAGACACAGGAAAGATCCACAGTTCTTTGAAAAAATTTTATGGTCGGATGAGACCACATTTAAGAAAGATGGGTACATGAACCTGCATAACTTACACGAGTGGCACGTAGCAAACCCACATTTGATGAGAGAAGATAAATCTCAATATCGCTTCAAGATAAACCATTGGACAGGAATTTTAAATGGTAAAATAATCGGTCCGTTTGAGTTCCCAGAGACTTTGACTGCTGAAGTTTATTTGGATTTTTTGAAAAATCATGTACAAAATTTATTGCTGGACGTGCTACTGAGTATTTACAGGGACATGTGGTTTCAGCATGATGGCTGCCCAGCGCACTATGCACTCTCAGTGAGAGAGTATCTCGATCAAAACTTTCCAGGCAGATGGATAAGGCGGTCTGGTACAATACCGTGGCCAGCCCGATCACCTGATTTGAATCCTTTAGATTTTTTTACTGGGGAACTGTAAAAGAAAAAGTGTATTTCAAGCCGATTCAAAATGTAGCTGAGCTACGGCAAAGACTATTGGAAGCAGCTGAGTTTGTTAATAACCGTGGATTCGCTCGTTTAATAACCCGATCTTTTTTAAGAAGATGTCGAGCGTGTCCAAGGACCTATAATTTTCAAAACACATACATAAAATTTTTTTAAATATTTTTCTGATAGCTGTTACGACTTTGCCTATCACCCGGTTTCGGCTTGACGTCGACTTCTGGGACACCCTGTATATATATATATAAGAAAATTGGTTTCAGAGAAAGAAATGCAAAATTCAAAGTAATGCAATACTTACTTTGGCAATTAACATTTCTTATCCAACATTTAAATGTAACAATAACATAATTTTTATGTTTCGCTTTTTTATCTGAAATGGTCAGATTCATGGTAAGGGTGAATTTCAGGAATTAAAGGTAGGCATTTCCCGTTAAACATTAATTTTATCTTCAAATGCTCGTGATGGCCATAGTCAAGGTCATGGACATACTTTTATTTCCGGTGTCGAACGTAGTGGTTTTTATTTAAGAAAACTATCATGGCCTTCAAATGAGCTTGAAGATCATAGTCAAGGACACTTCAAGGTCAACATAAGATAAAACTTTTCAACTCTTCATGAACCATATTTTGTTCTTTCCCTATCTTCCAGACACCCTCAAATACCTATTAAGATCGTGGTCAACGTCATAGTACATACTTTTACATACATAGATAGGTAGCAACCCAACTGGCACTTTTTTCGAGTATAACAGCAGAATGAAAATAACTTTGAGAAAATGACCCTCGTTTTTGCATGAACCAGTGGCGTAGAAACCGTCGCTTCTTATAAAGCTTAAACGAAAACCAAGGTGTTGCTGATTTGAACTTTAGTTGCCTCTCTTTACGTGCTAACGAGCTCTTAAATTCTCTCAAAATTCTGTAACAGTCTGTATACGTCCTAAATGATTCACCTTTCATGCTCTTACAATTCTCAACAACGATATATCTATATAGGTATTTTATATTCTTCCAAAAACGTTATTTCTGATGGAATGGTAGCTATTGAATATTTCGATTCAATGCGCGAATGAATGACCGTATGTCAAAAGTATGTGGAATCAAAAGCATCCATTGAATAACATTATTTTATTAGCCATTACAGCACTGATACGGTAATATGTACAACGCGTAAGCTATGTATAAACAATAGAACAACATGTAAACACTAACGAACGATCACACCATACTTATAGGAACACTGTTTAATGTCAATTGCAATGTTCGAGTTGGAAACGGAGTCCCATCGACTTACCAGATGTTGGCGGTAGCTGTTCTGGGGATTCCGGGCGAGTATATAACTCTAACTCAGGAGACGAAAAACTCCTGTAGCCAGTCCTGAGCTGCCTGTAGGTACCGTACATGTGGGATGGAACTCCTGGAAAGAAGGTCGAATAACAGTTTAGGATTTGGTTTAAATGCACAGACTAGAAATAAGTAGCTTGCCCCGCAGTATTGGTAATTTAGAAGCTACACTCAGGCAAATTCCCCAGCACAATTTTCAGCCTCCGCCACAAGACAGTATGAAAAAGAACAGTTTTTTGTAAATTTTTAGATTGAACAAAAGCATAATCTAAAAAGCCAATAACAAAGTATAAGTTGAATTATTTGGATTTTGCAAAGACTCAGACAAGTGGCATATAGGAAATTAAAGTTCGGTGGTATCCCTGAGGGCATCAGTATAAAATTTTTAGAAACATTGAGTATCTGTAATCAGGTTAAAAACACGTTTATTAGGTGAATCTGGTATGTAGATTATGAATCTCGTGCCAGTTTTTCACTGACATTGACAGAAGATTTGCGGCAACTTCTGTCAATGTAACTTCTGAAAGCCGCATTTCATAATTAGCGCTCCAAATTATCTCAATATATGTGGTTCCATTTATCAGCAGGCAAGACAGACTAAAATTGAGGTTTTACAATGGCGTATATAGAGGGTGTTTTACAACTTATCCGACAAATTTCAACCACATATGCGCTGTTACGAAAGAAGTTGATTTCTCAAAAAAAAATATATTAAAAGTCCTACAGAAATCGAGATAATACAATAATACAGTTTGTAGGTAGCAACGCCTGGACTCTCTGGACGTGATAAGGGTACAGTTGGGCCTCATGTAATATGCGCCACGCTGTTGCGTGTGACACCTTTGGGACCTGTTGGGCTACCTGCGTTGTGCTTATTCCCGAATTTTCTTCCACAATATCCGAAATTTCGTCTTCGGCATTTAAAACGAGTTGTGGGCGAACCCGACCTCCATCCACTCGACGTCTGGACCGGAAATTTCTACTAGCATGTGCACGTATAACAATTTAACTAAATGTTTCGAGATGTGGTATGTGCCTATTCGAAAACGAGAAGCCGCTCGCGAATTTTGCCCTGCTTCTCCGTACGCTGAAACAATGTCCACTAACTCATCATTAGTGTTAACATGTTTCATTTTTATTGATAAATAACTAAAAATATAAACTCGCAAACTTTCTTATTTAACTTCACAAAAATCGACCGTTCTTCATTCAGATCACCCGCGATACAGATTAAATATTATTTACACGTCCTTATCAGTATGAAAAAACAAAAAATTCCTGGTATCTTGTTTTCGTTAGGTGTTTGGTACAACATTTGCTACAATAAATTATGAATGCGTGTCCTAATATCACGACGATGAACGCAAAAGGAACAGATATTTATTTTTCAATTTATTATCGAAACTCAGGTTTATAACTTAATTTTTGTAGGACTTTCATCTAATTTTTTTTTTCGACAAATCAACTTCTTTCGGAACAGTACATATGTGGTTAAATTTTGTCGGATAAGTTGTGAAACACGCTGTATAAGGAAAAGCTCTTTCATATTGTAACAGTTACACCGTCCATGAAATACGACTTTGCCAGTCACAGTTTTTCCTTTACTGCATTATGTAATTTGTCTGAACTGCTATTTTAAATGTACATAGCTTTATTAGTTTTTTGTATTAATAGAAATGCATTTTTTAAGCACAAATTTTATAAACCTTTAATATGTTCTGCCGTTGTTAATCTTAGCCACACATTTCTGTGTGAGCGCAGAATAGGTGGTACATTCACTAATGTGACATCTTTGCTAGGCAATGAGATGAAATGAAACACTGTAGTGGCATCTATGAGAAATTGAAAAAGTTCTCACGCACTGTCTATATGAGCATATACACCCATATAAGAGACACAAGCCAAAGTATATATGTATGAAGTAACAGAGAAACAGCTCTAACAAATTCTCATAGATGACGCTACAGTATCTCATTTTACGACCGCTAATTTTTTGGTCGCAGACATATATGACTAGCTTGGCTATATTCAGGTAGAGTACATTAAACAATGACTTTTCCCAGTGTTTAAGGAGTGTTTTTAATCTGTAGAGGAGAAGGTGTAAATATGGAATACCATTTTTTTGTTCGCTCCTATTTTAAAAAATATGATCAGAATTATGCCAAATTTGGGGAACGGGTACTCAAAGGATGAAGACACATGAATATAAACTCAAAAGTGTAATTCTCTCAAAAAAAAATGTACAAAAAATAGTTTGAAAAAAAAAGTCGAAAATCACCACCTGAGAAAAGGTGGTGCAAATATGGAATACCTTAACTAAGCTAGAATATAATGCATATTTTTACAGTTTACTTGCACCAATCGCAAATATATTCGTCTTTTTCGGCCCAGCACACTCGTTATGTGCCCACATTGAGCACATCAAACATTGCACCCATAATTCTCCTCTCTGATCAGCAGAAAACGCAGCCTGACAAAACATGCATGAAGCATCGTCCTCATTGGGTTTTGTATGCCCTGGAATACTCTCTAAATCACTGTCAGAGTCATCAAGTCTTACATCTTCGGAACTTTCAGTTTCATCAGAAGAAACTTCGTTCTTTGGACGTTTTAATGTGGTCTGGATTTTAGGTTATACGATCTTTGGTTTTGGTTTTTTAGGATTTCTTTTTGGTTTTAAAGATTTTCCTGAGGACAAGTTTCTTTTAATGCCACAAACTTTTGCCTCTTTTTCAGTTTTCTTATTTATTGACTCATTTAGTTCATCTTTGTATGGTGACGAGTTAATCACAGCCGAACCCATTACCTTACGTCCTCTGTTAGTTTTTTTGCGGATTGTGTTTGGAACTGGAGATATGTCAAACGGTGAAACGAATTCCTTTGTTATAGTGTCGTCAGCTTTTGAGTCAGAGCTTTGCTCTTTTTCTTGGTCAATCGTCTGAGTTCTGATTGGCACATTATCTTCGCATGAGGTTTTAGAGCGTGAAGGTTGATCGATATCGATAGGCTCGACCCAATCTTTAGAGCAGGATGGTGTGTTAACGTCAACAGAAGCAGTGGTTTTAAGGTTTTCAATGCCAACGGTAACTCCTCTTTTTGATGCTTCTTGTTCTGCAGCAATATAGTCAGCATTAGTAAAAAGGTTTCTGTTAAAAGGGCAGATTCCAGTTACGCGAAAACCATTTGCCGCTATTGAGTAAGTCTGAACTTTTTCATAAGCTCTACCAAATAACTCCATAATGTCAAAAGGGCTCAGAGCCCGTTGGTTTTGGCGGATCCAAATACGAATCTCTACACTGTAATAGACTTTCAATGGGCCCATCAATGACTTATCCAACGGTTGGAGTTTGTGTGTAGAGTGAGGAGGTAGGCACAAAATAGTGACAAAATTTTCTCTTGCAAGATCAATAATTTCAATATTGCGCGTGTGGCTGTAATGACCGTCAAGAATTAGCAGGATAGGGTTCTCTTTAGTTGGTTTAACGTATTGGATAAAGTGACGAAACCACTGGGTGGAAATATGGCATTGTACCCAACCGGATGGATGTGCAACTCCTATGGACCCAGGAGGAGCTCCTTTCATTAGCTGCATGTTCATATTTTTTCTAGGAAAAATAACTAAAGGAGGGACAAAGTTTCCAGCAGCACTCATACAAGAAATAACTGTAATCAAAGCCCCTCGCTCTGCAGATGTTAATGAAGCAATTTGGCGTTTCCCTTTAAGTCCTATTACTTTTGATACTCTGCTTTGGACAATCGTTAGGCCTGTTTCGTCTACGTTATACACGTTGTGTGGCGAGTAAGGCATTTGTCTTTCCAGGAGGTCAAAAAAGCCATCCACCCTTTGCTTACAGAATCCTGCAGCTCTTGCAAAAGACGTACCCGTTGGCTTCCTTATTGACAATTCTGGATGCCGCTTCAAGAACAAATCAATCCACGCTATGCCTGCAGCTCCTGATGGAGAAAATGGATGTTTAATTTTATTTCTTGCTGCCAACTGATAAGCCATGGATGTAAGGCCATAAAATTTGGACTCCATAGCTAAGATATAATCAACTAGTTCCTTCTCTAGCTTTGAACCCAGAATACATTTTCTTCCCAGCTTTGTTACTGCAGCACTCTCTGGAGTAACTGTGCCATCTCTACTAAGTCGAAACAGCGTTGTTCGTGGAACGTTAAAGGATCTGGCTGCCTTGAGATATCCCATTGCTTTTTCTCTAACTGCCTTGATAGCTCTAGCCATGTCTTGTTCATTGTATTGCTTCCGTTTTTTAGGACTGGAAGGTCAACGATCTGTACGTCGAGGCATCCTAAAAAAATAATAAACTTGAAAATACATTGAAAAAAAAAGTTGTGTAAATATGGAATACCAGTATTCCATATTACTAACACTATACGTTTTCAATATTTGAGGTTATATCTAATCTATCAAAACAAAAACTTCAACAAATACAACGGCATCTTAAACTTTAGTTCATGTAGACTGTCAACGTACAGAATATTTAAATAAAATCATGTAATAAAAAAAACTACGCTTAAATAATGACTTACTTGAATAAAGTTCGAGGGTGCGTAAAACACAGGTGCACGTGTAACAAACAAAAACAAGCTGAAATCTGCGCCCTGCATTGTTCGGGTAATAAAGGATGATAAAATTCGTAAGTTAAACCGTATTTTGATAGAGGGCGGCACTTGGTTTTTTCAAAACCTTGGTATTCCATATTTAGACCATATTCCATATTTACACCTTCTCCTCTACGTTCTGGGATTGCTTTAGTTACATCGTATTCAATATCGCTAAAATGGGGTATATCTCCAAATTCGGCAATGGCGATGTTAGCCGAAAACGAATAAATTCTTTTCAATGTAATTTCCAGTTTATTGTACTCATTGTGGCTACATCCAGTGATGAAACAAACCCTTGAAATGCAAAGTATTTTCTCAGATTTCAGTATTTACACCAGGTAGGTGGTTTTTTGCTACAGACAAGCAGACAAAGAGTGTTCGAGTTATGTGCGACCTAATATCTGTAAATACCAAAAAACGGGCCTATTCAATGCTTTAAAACTTGGA